AAACAAAATAAGGTCGGAGTTTCTGATCATTTCCCTTAACATCATGAGGTTTTCTGGAGAACACTGGCTTACTTGAAGCTTGCGATCACGACTTCGAGTAAAGAGACGGTGGTTCGTTCTGCTAAAGACGACAGGGGTAAACTTCAACACAGAATGATCAAACTTTCCCAGTGGGAGACGAGGTTCTTCAAGAAGTAAATTGGGATGGTTGATAAAACCCAAATCCAGATGCGCGTCAAGCCTGGTGGGAAAGGCAACAATGTTTTGGAGATCTAAGGTGGTTAAGAAACGGTCATCGGAATTATTGAAGTCCCCACAAATAATACAGATTGAAGTATCTACGAATTCAATCAGTGTAGTTGAAAGAGAATCATAAAAATCATTAAGGACATGAGATGAACAAGAGGGGGCTATATAGACATCTAGAAGAATAAGTGACCGAGGAAAGCTAGAATGTCTGGGCTTACATTGAATTGCCGATGCGTTTATATAACGCGTGGAATAAGTAAACACAATTTTGTTCAGATGGCACCACTGATTTTTGACATACGTGATAACGCCACCTCCCCGTCGGGAATGAGGAACAGGATGATCGACGCGATAGCTAGCGAATCCATCCAGGTGTATTATCTCATCCTCAATTTCATTGTGGAGCCAACTTTCTTGTAGCATGATCACACCTAGTTGGGCATATTCCCGTTGCTTGATTAAGCTGGTGAGATCGGTCATATTTCCGATAAGAGATCGAACGTTAGAACTGAGAATGATGGGAACACACAAGCGGGAGATGGTTTGTTTCCGAAGAGCAGCTTTCCAACCGGTTCGATGCTTCCTCGGATTTTTCGAAAGCTTTCTGAACGTTCGTTTGGTTTTATTCCTTATAGTCCTCCCAAAAGAGGTTGCCGCTGCACATTTGGTCAATTTGATGGAATGCATGAAATCCCGGATATTTGAGCAAATTTGTCACTACTGTATTAACACAACAGTTGCCTTGGCAACCAAGATAAAAGTTCATGCGAATGATGCAAAAAAACTCAGTTATGGTTATCCAGTGAATAATCCGATGATGGAAAAACGGATAGCAATGCCGAACTTCGAAGGCCCCGCCAACAAGTTGTACGTGGTAAAGGAACCAAATGTTAACTGCGAGACAGCAGAGAGTAATCCCTCGCCTCGAAAGTGAGGTGATCAATGACTTTAGTTTTAAAAGGCCAGTCACATCGACCTTTGTCTCGACACCATCCTTGGGCTTATACGGCTTTTTAACAGGAGGCGGTGACCAACCCCAAACCCACCACACCCCGTTAGTACCACCGCCGTGTTGTTCGCGACTGCTTATTTGTTGCGGTGTGACACAACTTATTCACAGCGAACCTTTTTGGTGAAGCTATCCTCATATGGACAACCCGGGGGCGCACCTGGTGCAATTCAGCTCTGCTTAAGCCGAGGTTTGTGTTATTGTTATTGCGCGATTAACCCCAAAATTATTTGCACAGAACTTTCCAGCAGTTCGTGCATATTCAGTTGCATCGGCATCTCCTAGACCGAAATCGAAATCACTGCGGACGTGGCCAATAGTTGGCTATTGCAGGTAGCCAATACAGGTCAAGTGGTAAGAATCCACTTGTTGCCATCTCCCCAAGGATTCAGTATTCGATTACTTGGATCGTGCCCCCCTGGAGCATGTTTTACATGTCCATGATGCTCATTCCAGGCGGTAACTATCGTGATCAGCAGGTCTTACAGTCAACGTTCTGAATAATTATTACCTGCATTAATTGTTGATGAGTCAAATTTTCATTTTACGTACAATCTCGCTCCCCTTCACTTGTCGGAGTTTTCCATCCTCACACTGCTGACACCTGTAAGTAAAGCTTTGTTTTTTTCCTTTTCAGGTACGGATATCGAACCATTGGGTCGTCCTACCTGTTTACACTATTTGGTTAATCGACCGGATTCTGTCGGGTCTTCTCAGTGTTTGATAGGCACAAGCACTGGATGGCTGTTCCTGTTGGATGTTGAAACCGGTCAGATCGTTAGTCAGTGCGCTCCGCCTCCTAAAAGTCCATCATCAGCGGTAACAAAAACCACCGGTGGGTTTAACCAGAGTAGATTGTTAACTTATGGACGATTGTCTACTTCCCTACGGCTACGTACTAATCTCTTACTGGATCATGTGCAAGCCTTTTGCATGCCACATCCGGTAGATATTGCAGATATTGGACCAGGTTAAATGAACCGATCTAGCAGCGACGTGACGTAAAGTTCGCTTCACAGTATTTCGCTGTACGATGATGATACGATGATGACGTGACGTAGACAGTGGAAACTGTCTCCGGATCTGGCTTTAGTTAAGACTTCTGGGCTTCCAGATTGTGACACAAACATTTTGATTGTTATGAGCTGGATATGTGGTGGAGTGTGACACTGAGCTAGAGTCAATGGCATGAATACCTTTACATCTACGCTGTTGTAACCGCCCAGGATCGCTATCCGTACTAGATTCTCAAAATGAACATATTCTGGTAACGTTTCTCATCCAGAAAGGAACTCCACAGGTATGGAAATAGAACACAACTGGAAGCGTGTAGGAATTCATCTATTAAGCGGAAGCATGATCATAGGAAAGACGGAGGAAAGGGAAATGCGTATATCAAACGATTTGTTGATTGGTTGGCAGTTCCAGCCAATCACTTGAGTTCATATATCGTTGTTCTGATTGTTTGTCCCAGAACAAAGCAATTTTCGGGGAGCATGCTGACTTCCTGACAATTGCAATCCAAATCATAATCTGATAAAAGGACTAACAGGTTCGAAATTGCGTGCAGTAAATAAATTATCATCTCTTACAGTCAATGCCCAACGTCTTGGGTCTCATTCGCGGGACCGGTTGGTATGACGCAACTCTAGTAGCGTATATGTAGTGGTATCCACTGAAGTTGTTTCCATTACCCGAATGTCCTATGTATGTTTGATTTCTCGATTAATAGAATAAAAATCAATCGGCAGAACGGGTATTTATTTTCTTTAATCAGTTAAATAGTTTATTTCCATAAGTAAGTTAACGAAATCAATACATATTCTGCTTTGTTTAGCGTTCCATAGTGGTTGTACATCAATACTTCTCATCTGGAATTCAAGTTTAGTCATCCTTTTTCAAACTGTCACATACGGAAGTTCCACCGTAAGCACGCCCGGACTATCCTCAATATTTATTCTTTACGATTCTTTTCGGATGCAGCCGTATATATAATCGTCATAGTGCATCCCTGGGGTCGGTTTTCTCCCTCCGCATTGCTATTATGTCGGGGAATTTCCCTTAATTATGCAGTGCACTGTGCTCCTGTTGACTTCTTAGCACAAGTAACGGACTGAGACATCAAAATTATTCGCCTTCTTTACGTTTCGCTGTCTTCTTCGCTTATGCGCCGAAACGCTTGAGTGCTTCATCCAGTTCGGGCATGGTGCCAAAATACTTATTCAACAAACCGCACACCTCAAGGTTGACTTTCGGAGGTCGCGTTTCACGATTCTGTGAATACATACATTTTTACTTCTTTCATGATGAGCGATCGTGCGTGAACCATCTGTGGACACAAAATGTCGAATTTACCAATAACAACAAGTTATCATTTATCCGTATATTCACTTTTCATCGCATGGAAACAGATATATAATTTAACACGCTTGGATCGTTCAGGATAAACAGCTGTGTACACCAATAATCTGTTTATTAGAAACGATGAACTTTTGTGCTGTATTGCACCGAACGTTTTCCTCTTATTTCGTGCTGTAACCTCCGAAGTGCAACTTCTATCGTGACGCTCAAGGTCGCGACAATTGAAATAGTGACAAACGAATTAGGAATATTGCAGTTGTAAGTTATATATA